TCATCCTACTTATGAGAAGAAGCAGCCTCTATAATCAACTATATCTTTAATTTCATTTTTTATTAAGCTTTATACATAATAATATCATTACAACTCTTCTCAAGTCAAAAACCTAGCTTATTCCACTTATATGTGTTTAAATGTGTAGCTTATTATCATTTATAAAACAAAAATAAATTAGGAACTAAAGCTCAAAGATCTATATTAGTTAGTTATGACAACAATTCTAAAGCCTTTAAATACTATGATTTTAATACACATAAGACCATCATCTTGAAAAATATTTATTTTGATAAAATCATTGTAAAAATTTTACCTACCACATTGTCAGCTCCATCAAATAATGACATCTTTTACATCTTTTTAGATCCAAACTTGAATACTTTATATTCTAAAAATATTATAAAATTACAATATCAAAATTAGATAATTTTTTTAATAATCATCCAATCCTTCTATCTTCACCAACAACCTTAGAAGATCTCCAAACTACAAACATAATTCTATAAGCATCTTCATAGGATAAAAAAACTAGCCCATGTTCTTTCCATGATGCTCAGCATAAATCAAAATATAAAATATTAGACTATAAGACTATATTTATTCTATTACAATAGAAGACTTAAATATTTGTCTTTTTCAACATTCAATAGAAAAATAGTACTAACATTTCTCTAGCTAATACACTCAACAATAAAAAGTGATTAAATGTTATGAAAGAACTATTGTCTATTGCAAAAAATAAAAAATTAATACTTATACCATTACTACAAAGAAAACACACTATAAGTATAAGATAAGTTTTTAAAACAAAACATGGCCTTAGCAATCAATTGCCATAAAAGAAAAGATGCACAATGGTGTAAGGCTTTGAATAAGAATATAGAATTGCCTTTGATAAGGTCTTTGCTCTTATATTCAAATGGTCTATGATTAGATCTTTGGCAACCAAAGTTGCCTTAAAACATCACCTCATACATTACCTAGATATCAAGACAACATTTTTATATGGCAACCTAAATGACAAAATCTACATAAAACAATTTCTTGACTTCATCAAAATATGAAATAAACATCTTATATGTAAACTCAAGAAATTCCTTTATGGCTTACAATAAAGCTGAAGGATATGGTATAAAAGGCTTGATATTTATTTGAAAGGCTTAAGTATGACCAAAAGTATAAACAATCATAATCTTTACTATATTAACAATGGTGAAAATAAAACCATTCTAGAAGCCTATATTAACAATTTCTTTGTAATTGAAGAGACAAAAATAAAATATCATGATTAAAACAACAATTAAATTTGAAATTCAAAATGAGCAACTTAAGACTTATTAATAAGTACCCAGGTATAGAATTTATTATTCTTCTAATTGACTTATTTATATTATAATCACAATATGCTAAACAAAAGTACAAAATTTTAGAATAGATAATTCACAAGAAGAACACATATCTCTACTTCCAGGATTACTATTCTTCATTGATATAAGAGTGCCATCTGTAGACTCCTACAAATATTGTTGCATGGTTAAAAAACTTATTTTTTTTCAAAACTACATAATGATATATTATATAATGTTAGTAAAATCTTAAGATATATTTCAAAATTATAAATACTATATTTAAAAGCTATTAAATATATACTTAGATACATCAATGCAACTTTTGATTTTAGATTCTATTATAAATCAAAACAAAACAACAAGGCACAAGGTTACATTGATGTTGATTAGACATCATGCCTTGAAATACATAGAACTATAAGAGATTATTGTTTTACTATAATTGAAGCAACAATCATATGGCAAAGTAAAAAACAAAAGATATTAGTAAAATCATTAATTAAATCTGAATATATGAGCCTATCTATAAGAATTGTAGTAGCTATTTAGTTGAGAAGACTACTTACCAAATTAGAAATTATATAGTCTTTATCTTAATTGCTCTCACTTAGCAATAGCAATAAAAATCTTATATTAGAAATTTAAGACAAAATTTCCATATTCTTCAATAAATAATCAATAATAAAATTGACTAAGAACCTTATGTTCTATGCAAGAACAAAAGCACATAGAGGTATATCATTATTTCATCAAAGAAATAATAAATTCAAGAAATATCATTTTGTATTGTATATATACAAGCTCACAACATGCAGATATATTTACAAAAGCATTGCTTCAAAATAAGTTCATGCAATATTGCACAATATTAGGATTAACCAACTTCTTTGATACTATTTAAATCCTTGACCCTACAAACTCCACAGTTTCCTTGAAACCTATAAAAATTCTAAATTTTATTTTAAAATAACCTTTTACAATCTGCTCACATCTATTTTAGCTATTATATACTCCAAGCACAAAAAAAAAAATTATTGCATAGTATTTCATGATTCCAACTCCTAAAACTACATACTTATCAATACCAACAATCTTTGATTTACAATTGCTCCCTTTGTCTATGGTGTGCAACTCATCTTTCATAATAGTATTCTCCACTACATGCAACTTTTTTCTATTAACAATCAAGAACATAAGATTTATAAAATAAAATAATTTTACAATCAAAGATCATCAACTTCTACTAGAGTAAGAGTTTTTTTTGAATTTTCAAATAAACTTTATTAAAATAAGGATTTCATTATACTTTCAAACCTTACCTTGTTGAAGCATTCCATATAATTCCATGCAATAGCAAACAAGCAATGTTTTGAGCTTCCTAATGACAAATACACATGTCTCCTTTAAGATTAGTATTAAAGACTATAACTAAATTAATATGGCATCAACCTACCCAACCACAAACATTCTATAAGATTAAAAAAAAATGCCACAAAAATCAACCAAGGTGCTAAAGCATTGCATAAATAAGACATATTATAAATAAAAAAAAAAATCAACATACAAATTTTGCAATGCACTTTTAATTGATAACTTATTATTCAATTCTCAAAAAAGATGCTCTTCAAATAAGAAAAATGAAAACAAACAAATGAAAACATAAGCTTGTTTTTTTTAGGATCTCCACCTCAAGTAGTCTTTGAAGAGAGGTGATGATATTCCTTGTCCTACATCTTTTTTATCCATGTATGTTGATAATCCTATGGAGCCACGTAATTGGCTACCTAAATTATAATAATTATACATAAAATAATAATAACATAAGATACTTAGTACTTCATGGATTCTCTTTTTTTTAATATAAATTTGATATCTTTGACCATGAAGCAATCCTCAAATTGTAATATCATTAAGGTGATGGTGTAAAAAAGTCTCTAAGTCATATTTGAATTTACTAGACTTTTACTAGTTGCCTTGCTCAATGGCACACTTAATAATTAAATATTCATTATTGAATGTGTTGATAAGATGGTTGATTTTCAATGATTTAAATAATTTTTTTTAAAATTTTTTAGTATTCTTGTAATCCCTCTTAATTTTTTTAATCATATTTTGATATTTTTTATATATCACTAATTATATTATATATGTAAAAAATAAATATTTATTGTAATTTTACTCATTTTAATATTGAATAGGATTCTAACCTTCTAACATTTAATTTATTCAATGTTAAATGTGAATTTTTACTTATATTGTAAGTGTTGATATAATAATAGATTATCTCATAATTAAACAACAATTTAAAATGCAACTATATACTATACATTGTGTGGAAAAGATAAAATTTAAATACCACCTTACATATGTTACTTATTATCAATCATGCTAACATAGTTACTTATATGTGAACGAATCAATTTTATTTACCTTTAACAATGAAAAATTTATTGAAACTAAAGATAATGTTAATATTACTACCATCTTTAATAGTGGTTAATTTAACAAGAATATATTATTAATATATATATATATATATAAACAAGCCTTTTATGTGTGTCTTGAATTTTATAATCATTTGCAATGTAATATCTTTCTTATTACTACTTCAAAAAATACAAATAAAACATAGTTTGGTTGTTGACTTTTAATATAAGTCCTAAAATAATATAACATGTTATTTTTCAAGAAGTTATAAAGATGTCATTTATTTTTTAAGAAATTATACTTTGAATGAATATTGTAGCCTTGGATTCTCTTTAATTTCTAAAACCTATTATCAACAATTCCAAATAAAGTGTGTTTGCATCTTTTATTTCTCCATTTAACTAAAATGCTACAAAGATTGAGCTCTATAAATTTTAGGTTTAAAATAACATAATCCAAAGAATTTATTGCATAAAATAGTACTAAGTCTTATAAAAACTTATTGTTGTAAGTATGCAGATTAAAACGTTTTTTTTTTCATTTACTAAAACATATAAATCATAATATAAAATCATATTATATGCTTTTATAAAAAAAATCTTATTATTTAAAAATTTAAAAATTATTTTAAGTGTAAATACCATATTTTAAAAAAACTAAAAATTAAAATCTTAATTTAAAGTAATTTCTTAATAAAGAATAAAACATAAATATGCATGACATTATAAATATTAATTAAGATGTGTAATAAAACCACAAAGTAAAAATTATCTACACATTATATTGAAATTTTATTCAGATAATCTTAAAAATGACCTCTACACCTAAGCTTGTATATGTAACTTCCCAAATCCAGTTTCATGTCTTTCATTTAATTCTACTTTATTGTTTTCTTATTAATTGGTATTTATTAATTATAACTCGGATCTAAGTGGAAAAATATAAAAAATATTAATTTATTACATCACTATTATGACATACTGAATCAAACTCCTAAAAGTATTGGAAATTTACACGAAGTTTGATCTTCTATTTATCAATAGAGCTAATGGATTTCCCGCTGCTGACGCGATCCCTGGGGCTTATTCCTTTGTCACCATACCTGGATGAATGATATTTTTACAATTAACATCTCTAGAGCCACATCCCACGAAGTCGAAGCATGGCAGTGTGAACACGTCAATCCGGTGCTGTGATTTCGGGAAGGCCGCCTTTGCGAAGGTTTAACAAATTCGCAGTTTGATGTTCTAACGTAGTGCAAATTCCTGCATAGCGAAGATGCGAAGCTTCAGTTTGGCTCTAGGTTATCGAGCATCTCTGAATTGATTGCGAATCAAGCGTGTAATCTTAAAGCTTAATCTTGTGTGCTGTGTGAGTACTGTAAATGGTTATCCTTCTGCGATGAGGCGGAGGAATCACTCCGTCAGTGTCACGATCTAGTTGAAAGTCCATGAAATTAGTCGCGAGGGGTTTTGTATGTTGTGTCAGGCAGTTTTTGGCGTGTCGGGGATTTCAGCCGAGTGTTCCTCGATGAGCGTGGGTTGAGTTACTATGAGCTGGCTCAATGTACCGCTGCCTCTGGAGGAGCGTGATTCAAACGCACAAGGGAAGCCTTGGAAGGTACTTTGCCGTTGGCGGGATTTTGCGTCATTTGTTTGTTGTACTTGATACGCTGATTCTCGTGCTTTCTTTTAAGATAGTTGGTACAGTTGGTTAGTAGATTTTGATGGCGCGTAATGTGGCTTCATGAGTTTTACGTCGATTGTATTTCTGGCGGAGGGGTTTGTCTAAGGGTTTAGGGTTCAGTTTGTGTCCAACCCTTGAGTTTGAACTTATTTTTACAATATTTCGCGGCTGCAAATTGTGTAGGGTTGCAGGAGTTCGTGAGTTTTCAGCCAGACCATGGCCAGTAGAGCAGAACAGGTCCAGTATTGGTGCCGCAGGAGGCGAATCCTCAAACTTGGTCCCTGTCAAGGTGATGCGGAATGAGCGGCACTGCGGACCAGACCGGGAGGATGTGTCTAACACACACCAGCCGAGACCAACCGAGACGGACAGGGCGACGTACGTTGCTCTCCTGCAGAATTGCACGAGGAAAAGATTGTTACCTGAGGCAAAGCGAATTCATGCACAAATGGTTGAGGCCGGGGTCGGGCCCGACATTTTCCTTAGCAATTTGCTCATCAACATGTACGTCAAATGCAGAAGCGTTTTGGATGCCCATCAAGTATTCAAGGAAATGCCTCGTCGGGACGTGATCTCGTGGAATTCCTTGATCTCTTGCTACGCTCAGCAGGGGTTCAAGAAGAAGGCATTTCAACTCTTCGAGGAAATGCAGAATGCGGGATTTATTCCCAATAAGATCACTTACATCAGCATACTTACGGCATGTTACAGTCCTGCAGAGTTAGAAAATGGAAAGAAAATCCATTCTCAGATCATTAAAGCGGGATACCAACGAGACCCTCGAGTGCAAAATTCTCTTCTAAGCATGTATGGCAAGTGTGGAGACTTACCCAGAGCTCGTCAGGTTTTTGCTGGAATTTCTCCTCGCGACGTTGTTTCCTACAATACAATGCTTGGATTGTACGCACAGAAAGCATATGTTAAAGAATGTCTCGGTCTTTTTGGACAGATGTCTTCAGAGGGTATATCACCCGACAAAGTCACTTACATCAACTTGCTTGATGCATTTACTACGCCTTCCATGTTGGATGAGGGCAAGAGGATTCACAAGCTCACTGTTGAGGAGGGTTTAAATTCGGATATCCGAGTAGGCACCGCGCTCGTTACTATGTGCGTGAGGTGTGGGGATGTGGATAGTGCCAAACAAGCATTCAAAGGCATTGCTGATCGCGATGTGGTTGTGTATAATGCATTGATCGCGGCTCTTGCTCAACACGGGCATAACGTAGAGGCTTTTGAGCAGTATTATCGAATGCGATCTGATGGAGTGGCCTTGAACAGAACTACTTACTTAAGTATCTTGAACGCCTGCTCCACTTCAAAAGCTTTAGAGGCAGGTAAACTGATACATTCGCATATCAGTGAAGACGGGCATTCGTCAGATGTGCAAATAGGAAATGCTCTCATTAGCATGTATGCGAGATGTGGGGACTTGCCAAAAGCTCGGGAGCTTTTTTATACCATGCCCAAAAGAGACCTTATTTCATGGAATGCAATTATCGCTGGTTATGCTCGACGGGAAGACCGAGGAGAGGCAATGAGATTATACAAGCAGATGCAATCTGAAGGAGTGAAGCCAGGCAGGGTCACATTTTTGCATCTTCTCAGTGCGTGTGCAAATTCATCTGCATACGCCGACGGCAAGATGATCCATGAGGATATTTTGCGAAGTGGAATTAAATCAAATGGACACCTTGCAAATGCGCTGATGAACATGTACAGGCGTTGCGGAAGCCTAATGGAAGCGCAGAATGTATTCGAGGGAACGCAAGCACGGGACGTTATTTCGTGGAATTCAATGATTGCAGGACATGCTCAACATGGATCCTATGAGACTGCATATAAGCTGTTTCAGGAGATGCAAAACGAAGAGTTGGAGCCTGATAATATCACTTTCGCAAGCGTCTTGTCTGGTTGTAAGAATCCAGAGGCGCTGGAACTAGGAAAGCAGATCCATGGGCGCATCACCGAGAGTGGTCTCCAGTTAGATGTTAACCTGGGAAATGCCCTCATCAATATGTACATTAGATGTGGCAGTCTGCAGGACGCACGCAACGTATTTCATAGCTTGCAGCACCGCGACGTCATGTCGTGGACAGCTATGATTGGCGGATGCGCTGACCAGGGTGAGGATATGAAGGCTATTGAATTATTTTGGCAAATGCAAAATGAAGGGTTTAGGCCAGTTAAGTCCACTTTCAGTAGTATTTTGAAGGTGTGCACGAGCTCTGCATGTCTTGACGAAGGGAAGAAGGTCATCGCTTATATTCTGAATAGTGGCTATGAACTCGACACTGGAGTAGGGAACGCCCTTATCAGTGCGTATTCCAAGAGCGGCAGCATGACTGACGCACGTGAAGTTTTTGACAAAATGCCTAGTCGAGATATTGTCTCGTGGAATAAGATTATTGCAGGGTATGCTCAGAACGGTCTTGGCCAAACAGCGGTAGAATTCGCTTATCAGATGCAAGAGCAAGATGTAGTTCCCAATAAGTTCAGTTTCGTGAGCTTACTGAACGCATGTTCCAGTTTCTCAGCATTGGAGGAAGGCAAGCGAGTGCATGCTGAGATAGTTAAAAGGAAGCTGCAAGGTGATGTGCGTGTGGGAGCAGCTCTAATCAGCATGTACGCTAAATGTGGAAGTCTAGGGGAAGCACAGGAAGTATTTGACAACATCATTGAGAAGAATGTGGTTACATGGAATGCCATGATCAATGCATACGCTCAACATGGTCTCGCTTCAAAGGCGCTGGGTTTTTTCAACTGCATGGAGAAGGAAGGAATCAAGCCAGATGGCTCTACATTCACTAGCATTCTATCTGCTTGCAACCACGCAGGTCTGGTATTGGAAGGCTATCAGATATTTTCCTCTATGGAAAGCGAATATGGGGTGTTGCCAACAATAGAGCACTATGGCTGCTTGGTTGGGCTACTTGGTCGTGCACGGAGATTTCAAGAAGCGGAGACTCTCATCAACCAGATGCCATTTCCACCAGACGCTGCCGTGTGGGAAACATTACTTGGAGCCTGTAGAATCCATGGTAATATCGCCCTTGCAGAGCACGCTGCGAACAATGCACTGAAGCTGAATGCTCGGAATCCTGCTGTGTATATTTTGTTGTCCAACGTATATGCTGCCGCGGGTCGATGGGATGATGTTGCCAAGATTCGGAGGGTGATGGAAGGAAGAGGGATCAGGAAGGAGCCAGGGCGGAGCTGGATTGAAGTGGACAACATCATTCATGAGTTTATTGCCGCCGATCGATCACACCCAGAGACAGCAGAGATTTATGCAGAGCTCAAGAGATTGTCTGTGGAAATGGAAGAGGCTGGGTACTTCCCAGATACTCAGCATGTCCTACACGACCTGGGTAAGGCACACCAAGAGACTTCGCTCTGCACCCACAGCGAGAGGCTTGCTATTGCGTATGGTCTTATAAAGACACCTCCTGGAACACCAATTCGCATCTTCAAGAACCTGAGAATATGTGGTGATTGTCACACAGCCTCCAAGTTCATTTCTAAGTTGGTTGGGCGAGAAATTATAGCCAGGGACTCCAACAGGTTTCATAGCTTCAAGAATGGGAAATGCTCTTGTGAGGACTACTGGTAAAGAATGAAGCTCAGGTAACGAAAAGTAAGATGTGCAAGTGAGCGCAAATTTAGAAGAGTCTACCCTTGCAAGTTTCGTGCGCGCTACCTTTTCGTAATTACTACGATCTTCTGCAACATATCTGTACACCCCCTGCCTAATACTTGAATTATCTCATTACTCTACAGAATTGATGATCTCAACTACGATATCGAACACGAGAATTGGTTGTGAAACTTCAACTTAGTACCTTAAAAGGATTCATAATCTTAGCTTACATATGGTATCCAGGCGACATATGTCCAAGTGTTAGATGTCTAGAAACACTCCGATTTCTCTGCCTCACAAGCCAAAATTTGGACTGAAGGTTGTGAACCAGAATATTTTTCACTTCTAAATTCCTCTGGAAATGAAATCACAGATTGAATTCTACAACGTGCGACAAAAGGATAGAACTCATTTTGGTGGCAGTAACCAATGAATTAGCATGATGGAGCGAGCTTGATCCAGAACAAATTAGCACCTGATACTAAATGCTATTACTTTTTCAGAAGACCAGAAACAGGGTCTATCAGGTTTGCACCCTGCTCGCCCAATACATATGCACCTTTCCCAACATTAGTGCATATGAGATAGTCAACCTCTCCAGGTATCCTCTGCAAATTGGGAATGCCAGCCACCTCAGCTGGCGCAGAAAGGGAGTCGATGTCCTTCAAGGAATTCACGCCAGCAGACTCCAAAATACTTTGATCGCCGTGAACATATCTGCATCCCAACGAAACCACCATTACTGCCCTGCATATAAGCTTAGGAGTAGGAAATGATGTAGAATCATTGGGACTGGCTAGTAATCATACACCTGAAACTTGTCTATTCTATCCAAGAGTTCCAAACAATCATACCTGGAAATATCAGTATCCGCGGATGGAGGGAACTGGTACAGAAGGCGCTGAAGCAGCTGCGCTGCAACTTCTTTGTTCTTGGCAAACATTACCGCATTCGGACCAGCATCAAACGTGTAGGCAACCTGGAAATGTAGCAATAAAAATGCATAAATTGCTTACTTTAAATAAAGACAAATATATTTTTGGATGAATTTGTTAATGATAATCACATTAAATAATAAGTTCAATACAGAATTTTTTGTTCACTAGCTTTATTTAAGTGAATTCGTCAATTTATCAAATAGTTCAGCTCTTCGTAGAACGGTAGGGCTAATGCATCACCTGTGGTTCTCCTGCGTGACGATTCCATCGCTCTACTAACCCTATGAGTCTGCATGCCAACAAAGGCAAATACTTTTCTAATGAATAGGACTGCAATGAAAATCTAGAAAACTCATCCAATGAAAAATCAGGAACAAAAAACTACATGAGAAAAGTAAATAAATAAATAAATAAACAAATTAATAAATAAACAAATTAGACGTTACTTTCGAGAAGTGTCGTTTAGATAGAAAATTGGAGGGGACGTGTCCAGGCAGGTTGCATGAAACTGGTTGCTATCTGCGCAGGTTATCTTTGCAAACTCTGTGAAGTTCATGGATTTGATGGCTTTCTCCATCTGCACAATGCGTTTTGGCACCACCTCCTATTCATTGCAATTATCAAAGAAAAGTAAGAGGCAGCCGGAGGTACATTTAAACAAGTATTCTCAAATATAAAATTGCAAAATACCTCCATGAGAACTCTATTAGACTGCATCTTTCGGACACTTTCATCGTACTTCTCCATCTGTAAAAATTGCTTACTTCAAAAATCAGTTAGGTAGGCTTGAAGGGCAAGGACGAATGTAGGTGACAGAAAAAACATATCATACCTCAGCTCGATACTTAAGAAGTGGACTGGTCTTGACACTTTCCTGCATTCCAGAAGTACTACTTGTCTCCTTTTGACGTGAACTCACCTGCATCATGTTGCGTGTTTCAGCACAACCAGGACCGACCCTACAGACGGCGCAGATTGCTGTATCACTAGAATGACTTCCACCAAGCTCACTGCTTCGATTTTATTCCATACCGACTTCGTAAAGTAGAGAAGACAGGAACGTAGCAATTAAGAGAAACGTACCACCGCAATGATAATGACGAGATCTTTCCAATGTGATTCCTCCGCGAGCTGCACCGCAATGCTGTCCGTCCCATCTATTTCCTTCCCTTGCAGGAAAAGAACGTCATCTGTCAATGCTGAGTCATCGGGTGATAAATGAATCATGAACAAACTAATTTACTCACTCAATCATAAAATGATTTTGCCAACTACCTGACCCATTTTCCATTCGACGAATCCACCGTAAAGGCTGCGACAAGCACTTCCGGATCCAAGCCTGCACCCAGAACACATGCTCAGTACCCTTAATGCCACAAAACCCAACATAATGTGACAATCTTACACCAGCATCTGCTTAATGTTCATACCCGAAACCCAAACCTAAAGATGATTACTAATTAACTCACCGTGCAATTGCAGTGAGCTCTCCTTCGTATTTCTCCTGTACTCCCATCAGTTGAGCAAGAGCATAAACTGAAAGAACCACACCTCAAACTCAGAGTCATCAAAGATTACATAGTCTCGCGATATACTAATCAAGAGGAATCTCGCCCGAATGCTGCCATTCGATATACACTAAAATATTCGGAAAAGATCCCACATGAATCACGAAGTATTACCTAAGCAAGCAAACCCGGCAGCTGAAGAGGCCAAACCCGCCGCAGTAGGGAAGTTGTTTTCGGAAGCAATGTGGATGTGAAGAGAGTTCCAATCTTCTTTACGAATGACCTTTCCACTCGATTCAATCACCACGTCTGTGGCGCGTGCCCGCATCTCTCTCAAACAGTTTTTGTACCTCACTCCTTCCACTGAAACTTCCTGAGATCCAAGTCGACATTGTAATGAAGAAGTGTGGGGGGTGGCGATGGGGTTGGGGTATGCTTTTCGGGGTTCCAATCGAACTATGCATTCAAAACCCCCATCTACGAACCCAATACAATGTTCACACGCCTCCTAAAATACAAGAGATTGAGAGAAAAAAATCACACCTTGCCATTGAGCCAGAGACGGTCCTTCTCAAACGCAGGACTGGCAGCAACGGTAGTAGTGGCAGACAGATGCTCGGGATCCAGCGTCACACTGATACTGGAATTAATAGGCAAGATGAGCTTCTCATCGCGCTTGCCCCAATACTTGATCACCGCAATGTTGCTGGGCGCTCTGGCCGTCTTCATCACAACCCATGTCTCCTCTTCGTTTCCCATTTCCCTTTACTTCTCCCCTCCACTCAACCCACAATCGATCAACAAAAAATCCCACTCGAACAAAACTATCACCGATCAAAACTACACCAAACTCACACACACACTCACTCATTCACTCAAACACAAACAAACAAACTTCAAATCACACGAAACAATACACAAACAGAGAGATGGAAGGGGCTCCGAAGGCTGGAGGAGTAAACAAGTAGAATTCCACACAATGCTTAGTATTTGTATTCAGATTTGTTTTTGGAACTCAAAATGTGGGCAGCACAAGAAACAAATTTCGGAAATCTTCACGGAGATGTCATTGTGGTGAGTGGTAAAGAGTCCTTTTTTTTCTTTTTTCCTTTTTTTTTTTTTCTTTTTTTTTTATACTTACATCGGGCACTCCTCGTCGTCAACCTCCTCCTCCTCCTGCTGCGAAGTCTTTGGGTTCACATGAGCATCGATGCAGCATTAGCTGGCTCCCTCCCTCCCTTCCTCCCTCGTTGGCTTCGGAGGGACTAACACTCGCAAAAAAGAACATCAGTGCCGCATTGTTCATCCTCAAATTGGATGGATGGGTAAGGATGTATACATTCATCCAATGAATTTCAACGATCTGATTCTGCTCCTTCTCGGAACGACGTTCCAATTAAGATTCTCCATTCTTTTGTATTGTGTCATGCTATACTGCCATTGTTTTATTCATGTTTTTCTACTTCTATTTTTTATTTACTAATTTTTTTATACTACTTTTTTTTAATATTTTTTTATTCTTATTTTTTATTTCAAGTAGAACCTCATATTCTATTTTTTCTTTTATTAAATTTTTATGTTGTTAATATCTAAAATTAGAAATATGTAATCCATACTTTTCCATTGGCTCGGGCTACAAGTACATCCCAAATTGTCTATACACATCCAAGGTCTCTTATTGGTTGTTTTAGACCTCTTCTTCATTGTTCCACTATAGGTCTCAATTTCTTCCTCCTTCTATTCTTTGTCCTCATGTGAGTTTAGGACCTCCACCATAACAATAAGGAAGAAGTCAAGAATAGCCAATTAAAGGCCTTGGTGTCATGGACATGTACATTTATTCCAATAGTTACTTATATGATTAGGTAGAAGTAGATAAATATAGATTAATTTCAAAAAATCTTCTAGATAAGCTTCCTAAAAGCTTCATAGATACGGTTTTGACTTTAGATGTGTTTGTAGGTTAGAAACTTGACAAAGAAGTTAACAACGGATTGGTAGCTTATGGAACAAGCTAACTATGTGGTGTATACATAGATAACTTGCCTTGCAAGTTAAGACATGTGGCTAACAAAGTCAACTCGTTTTAGAGGTCCTATAGAATATCGCTACGTAGCTCCTAGTTAAGAGTATATATGGAAGCAAGAGTATATATGGAGGCAAGAGTGAAGCCTTTTTCATTAAGATTAGAAAGCCTAGTCTTAAGGAAGAAAGGCTTTCTAGTCTTTACTCTTGTTTCAAGACTTTTTAGTCTTCTTGTTTTTGGCAATAGCCATCCAGTTCAATATTATATCATCTTTGAGTGACTTTTGAGTTCCTTTCAATGACATAAGAGTGTATTGAGGATTTTCTTTCTTCAAGACTCATGTCCTTGATAGTTTGACAAGAGTGCTAACAAACTATTTTTGTCTTATTTTAAAAATAAGTGGATTAATCCACTTCTATTGTTATATTTTGAAGATTATAGATTATCTACCTTTAAACAAAAAATCTTATTTTCTAACATTGATCTTTTTCTTAAATAGAGTGGATTACCTCTCTTTGTGGAAATTTCTATTAGAGGTTGCGATGTCGTATTATGTGCTATCTAGCTTGAGAATGTACCAAGCGTCTAGCTATAGAAGATAAAACAAGGTTTTGCAAGTATCCAAGTAGTCTAGTGGGTTTCAACCATCTAAATACAAACTATTTCGGATTTCAATGTAAAAGCTTAATCCCAATATAAAGAGCTTAAAAACACTATTTTTAATAGCTTCTAGATATTATAAGCATAGATTTTTTTGTTATTTGTTATTTTTTATTTTTATTTTATTTATTTTATTTATCAATTTATTTTTTTTATATTTATTTTTTTTTACTTATTTTTTTATTTTTTTATTTTTTTAAACCCTAACCTTAGATAACGAGCTTTGGCAAGCTTTAATTTTCAATCTGACTATCCGATTGTTATGAAACTTCTACCATTAGTGTCTTTACAAGTCTTCTAAATGCTCAAGAAGTTCAATTCAATCCAACTTATAGATTGCAAGAAAACGTCGTAAATCCACACTAATGTCCCTTGACCGCCACCTAGAAGGTTGACAACAAACTTTGACTTGCAATTTCTCCTTCTCTAACTGTTAATTCTCATTCAAACCTTGTGTGTAGCTCTGCCTTTAAGCCCTCGACTTACTGCGTCAAGATTCACTTTATTCTAGCCGGTAGATCTCAGATATTACAAAAACCCTAAACAACCCCAATATGCCAACTTTTGATACCTCTTTATACTAATGATCAAATATCCTCTATCCGTACGATTAGATTAATACAATTTTTTTTTCATGCACTTGGCATATTCAACCATCTAGACACCTCTAAAATTTCAACCACAGATGTCTCTCCAATTTTGCAAAACAATCAAGAGTACTAGCCTTTACTTTATTGCAGAAATCCAATTCACCAATATAAACATTGACTTTGAGCAACGATTGCAAAGTCCTCTCAAACCCTATGAAACCTAATTCTATACCTTTCGAAGGAGCTTGAAGCTAGCTCTCCGACTCCCAAAATCTTGATCTCTGAATGCCTCTTTTTTTTTCTCTTTCTTCCTTTAACTCCGTGAGGTTCCCTATTCTTCCACCTTAGACTATGAATTGGAACAATAGACCATGCTTCCATAGAACTCCTGCCTCTAAGAAGATCTTTCCATCAAAAGGATGTTTTCCTGAAATGACATAGAGAACAAAACAGCTTCAATGGAACTAAAGCCTTCGTAATCGGAACCTCATTGGGCTGTCCAACCGAGTCAAGTCTCATATTGGGTAAGAGGCCCGTAACATGACCTGGATTGGATGTCCCCGTAATTGGGTCAAATTGGCCCTTCGCATCAGGCTCATCCAATTGTTGAATTGGTCCTTTTTCTTTTTGTCGACTCTTGATAAGAATGGCTTGGATACATTCCACCTGATTTATCGCAGTATCTTGAGGACCTCAATTTATCCCCTCAATTTTTCCTTGGCTTTGGATCTGCTGATCCCGATTATTGAAATTGAACGGAGCATTGCATTGTTGATAAGTATGCCCCGACTACTTGCTACTTCTACACACTCGTGCGTAATTATCACTTACTCTAGGATTAAGACATTCACTAGCATAATGACCAATCTGTCTACAACGGAAACAACGAAGTAGTCTTCTTGCACTCCCATCAGGCATATTGGGTGTCTCCACCGATATATACTTACTAGGCTTGTTCCATGTAGGATTAGAAAATGATCCTGGTCATCCCGTTGGTACGGAGGGTACTTGGTTCGATGACGCCCGTAGAGCATACGTTATTATCACATTTTGTGGTACAGCTTGCAATGGGGTGACATTAATTGGCCCCTGAATATTGGCACTAGAATTGGCAATTGTTTCTAACATTCAAGATGACTAAATATTAATAAATCTTTTTTATTTATATTTTCACCATGTAGTCATGTTACAACACGACAACGGACTACCTTCCTCTAATTTAATTTTTTGGATTTGTTTGAGTTGTCTATGGAAGAAAAGATTATGGATGCTACTCCTAGCAGGAGTGAGAATAAATTTGTAACTATTGCAGAGCTTCACGAACTTGTTAATATTCTTAGGGTAGAGATTTTACGCATCACTAATGTCAATGATGGGAGTACTACTTTTATATTTATAAAAAAAAAAAAAAAAAAAAAAATCTAGAATCTATATCAAGAAGTTGTATAATTGAGGGAAATAAGTCAATTAGCCTTACAACCAAATTCAGAAGGTTTGCTTCTACAAACTCAAGAGAGGCAAGAATTAGTATGCTTGAGAAAATTGATGGAACAAGATCAAAATTTTGAGGTTTTTTACAACAAGTTAAGCTCTATTCAAAGTTACATCCTTTCCAATACGTAAATGGATTTATTCGAGTCGGCTTCATATGTGCACTTCTATTTAGAAGTACTCTTTTTTGGTTTGTACCTTTGATGGAAAAGGATTCACGACTTCTTTATGATTTAAATTCATTCTTAAAAGTGTTTACAACCACATTTAGAGAAAGTGATTGAGAACGAGTAGCAGAGACCAAACTCTTATCTTTATGACAAGGATCACGATCAGCTGCCACATATGTTGCTGAATTCCAAAATCTCGCTTATGACATGGACTAAAATGACAAAGCACTTATCAATCAATTTTGATATGAGTTGAAAGATAGCATCAAAGATTTTTTATTAATAATGCCAAAAATAAAATCTTTAAAAGAATTTATTACTCAAGCCATTTCATATGATAATTAATTATTTAAAAGGCATCAAGAATAAAGACTTGGTTGGAGAGGAATAAGTCAAGTAATAGTGGTAGCTCTCAAGTTTTTTGAAACATATTCATCAAGGCCAAAACTAATGCAAATTGATACGATATATTTTAAACCTCTCACAGAGCAAGGAAAGATTCAACTTTGCCAAGAAGTTTTGTGTTTATATTGTGGAGAAGCTAAGCACACTGCTCAGCATTGTCCAAAGAAGCAACACAATTACAAAATGAAGAGCACAATTACGAAAGAAGATAATGTATCAAAATGAGTTTTTTCAACTACAATAGGGACCATGCAGTTGGAATCATGTGCAACACCTAATAAAGGTCATATTTTCTTCTTAGTCTTCCTATCTTATTTTAGAATAGATGTGTGTTTAGAACCTAAAAATCACAAAGTCTTTGCCTTATTAGATTCAAGAGCCTCAACCTATTTTATAGATAAAGATTTTGTCAAAAATCAAAAAATACCTTTAATCAAGAAAACTAAACTTGTATATGTAGAAATCATAGATGGTCATTTGTTGTCTTCTGAAAATGTTACTTATGAGATTGTTCCTTTAGATATAACAATTAAAGATCATAACAGTATAGTAGTATTTAATGAAATAAGATCTCCCTCCAATCTAATTATTTTAGGATTATCATGGCTAAAAAAATATAACCCTCAAATAGATTAGATTTCTCATAACCTTGAATTTTTTAGTAGTATAATCTAAGATTGGATTAGTAAAGTAGAAGTATA